GGAACCTATCATGCTATGTGCAGCTGCCAAAAGGTGCATTGTGATGAGTGGACACTCTTCATGCTGCCTTAACTCAAACAGTGACCCTGGGACTGTCACAGAGGGCGTGATGGGAAGTGGCCCAGGGAGGGCAGCCTTAAGCACCCCTCAAAGGGGCCTGGGTCAGAGCACGGTGGAGTGGGAAGGCCTGGGCTCCCCTACCACCAACCCCCTGCAAGTCACCAGTCTGAGTCCTGACCACTAGGCAATGCTACCCTACCAACCAACCCCTGAGCGAGGACCGTCACAAGGTCTTGAACAGAGACTGCCAGTCATGCAGCAATGTGGCAGATTTGGTTGTGGCAGCTGAAGATCCACTAAATATTGGGATGGGGCCTCCCAAAACCATTCTACCTCTGACCTAAATGACCCTCTAAAGTCTAATGCTGACATGCTAATAGTTAGTATGCACCAAGGAGCTACTAGCTACCAGCACCATACTTTGTTTACTGTTAAATAAAAAATAAACCATGGAAATGTTTTCTCTGTGAAAACTGCAAATATAGACTAAGATTAAATATGTATTACTTGATTAAAATATTCAGTGACAATTCAGTTATTCTTTTTGATCACCTACACTCTTAGAAAAGCTTATTAGTAATTGATAAGTTCATGAGGTTTTTGTCTCTTTTGGCTTTTCCTTTTCTAGCCATATGCACTGCATCTTTACATTTCTAGGAGTCTGCTGTCTGCAGTTGCCATGGGGTGTTCTGTTCAGACACAGCCTGTTATGAAAAAGTCACACAGGGCGCTTTTTTTCATGGAGACCTTACTTTTGTTCTTTCTTGTGGTGTTCTTTATTCTAAAGCTAAAGACCAGTAAGATGGCAATATGTGGTTGCCTTTAGAGCATGGAAAAACATACTTCATGTAATCTATTTGGGGGCAAGGAGGGTTGTGCATCAAGGACAGTTGTGTGTTTATACTAGTTGCCACAACAAGGCCCTGATCCCTACTGGGGCATCTAGACTCGATCACACAAATCAATGATCAAATAACAAGAAACTGGATTAACCCTTAGAACTGTGGCATTTTCCACAAACTGCCAGCCCCAGGAATAAGAATACAGAGTCTCCAGTTCAAGCAGTCTATATGCACTGCTGGATTGAGCAGCATATAAATAAGTCCTGACGCACACAGGCGGAGGAGCTAGTCAGTAACCATAAATTAAACTGGTGCCTGTCACAACAACCCATTTTCTCAGCTGTCCTTTTTTTTTTTTTTTTTTAAAGCAGTGTGGAAGTGCCAGTAGGAGGGTCAGTGAGAGTCGCCTGCTTTTGTGCCCCTCTCAGGAATCAAACAGCGGTCCTAATGCTTTGGTTGCTTAAGAATGCTTGACCTGCCCTGGGAGATTTGAGGGATTGTGCAGAAAAGGTTTCTCTTCAGGAACACACACGCAGATACAGAATAGAACTGAGAGAGTAAGGACAATACGCCAAGCTTCCAGGACTCAATAAGAGTGAATTTACTGAGGAGAGCTCAAACAAATCAGATGAATTCCTCCCCCACCCCCGCTTTCCAACAATTCAGTAGTTCTCTGGTGTGGGTAGATTGATGCATATGGGGACTGATGGTCTCTGCTTGCATTGCACAGTGAGCCAGCTTGATGTAGCTGCTCAAGAACATTTGAAGCTGTCAGGCTTGTTTTCTTGTTTGTTCCATCTGTGTGTGTGATGCCAGTGATGGTGACAGCCTTGCAACTTTTGTTAAAGTCTAAGTCTCTGCACAGTTCTTGGGAAATGTGGAGTGCATGAATTTGCCCCAGAAATAGGATCGGAAGACTCTGACTTGTTATTTGGGTGATCATCAGTTTTTCTCCTTACAAACTCCAGGTCCTATAGCCAAGAAGACTTTCCTACAGTTGCAGGTGGTTCAGCTTGTGAACCCTTACATCTGCAGGTGCAACTGGGGTTAGACGTTTCCAGGTACTTGTGTAACCATCATTGTTGTAGCTGAACATTTATTGGGGCAAATTCACACTGGAGGGGTAGCAGATAGTGGTACCATTATTATCCTTCCCCAGGCATTGCATCTGGGGAAGAGAGCAGGTCTATATTCTGTCCATGGTTCCACAAAAGTCCTGCTGGTGGAGACTGTGTGGGAGCTGTGCTGAATCAGTGCGGCTCCCAGTCAGTGTGCTTTCAGGCCAGCCACATTCACTTCCTGGGCTGTGCTGCATAGCTCCTGGGCCTCCTGGCAGATCTGGTATTGTAGCTGGCTTGCACTGCTATGCCCTGCTCTAGACAAGCTTTCCAATTCTGGGGACCCAAAGCTTGGTTCCCATGTCTCATCAAATGGATGAATCCCGCTTGGTAGGTGATGTGTTATGTAGGATCTTCCTAAAAGAATATGTCAAGCCCTGAAATATTCTAAATTCTGCAATTCATTCTAGAGATGTCCCAATGCTACCTGTAGACAAAGATTATAGATCCTTGTCAGCTTGTGGGTGTTTGACTAATTGCCCTGATAAATCGTGCTGTATGTTCATTATCTGAAAAAGGAAGGGGGAGGCTGAGCCAGATTATCTCAAATTCTTGCAAAGGCATAAAAAAGAGGATTCCCTTCCCCCATCTCCCAAGGAATGAAAAATCAGAGAACACGCTTAAACGGAAGCAATGTAAGGACTAGAGCTGTCTGAAGTCTAGAGCACTGCTTAAAGGGATACTAAAATTCTGAATTTTCAATGCCCTTTGTTCCAAGTATGTTTAATAAACTGTTTGATTTCTGTCTGGCCATACCACAATACTAGAAACAAACGTTTCCGTTATTCAAAACCCTTGAAAAATAGTGGACATTTTGGATTATTTGGGAGGTAATATAACCACATTTCATCAAGTCCTAAAATTGTATTTGCTTGGGATGAGTGAACTAGCTCATAAAAATACAGAGCCCGCTAAAGCCTTAGCAGTTTCTCCAAATCAAAATGAACAAGTAACAGAGGACTACCTGGTCCCTCATTACTATCTCCCATCCTGCATGCTCTCTCTTCCTGAATGCTATTAAATCTTTGCTCTCTAGGGAACCCACAATGAGCTCACTCTTCTTGACCCCATGGATCCACAGATCCTCTTGACCCTGATTCTTCTGCTCAAACATCATAATCTCCCATGTTGTGTCTTTCCCAACCAACGGAGTACAATATGTTCTGGGGCATCTCTGACAAGAGGAACTCTGGGTTCCATGAGATTTGAAGAAAGTAGCTGAAGTACCTCAGCAGATGCTACTGGAAATATTCCCAGGCGATCATGAATGGCAGGGGTCTTTTTAGCTGCTTGTGGAAAAACCCTAAGAACTGAAGTTGCAAAGGGGAGAGGAAACCCCACTTTGGTTTAGGAAAGAAAATTGGGCTCAGGGAGCAGGGACTACGGATGAGGGAAGGAGAAGGATCTAGTTATGTTGGGAAGACCGGAGGAAGGGACAAGGATGGGAAATGGAGAAAGGGAAAGAAGCAAAACCTTCTTTGGGTAAACTTTGTTTAAGCACCTAAATTATTTGGAGATTTATCCCAAAACTGAACATTTGGAAGATTGCTCACTCCTAGGGCTATGTCAACACTGCGCACCTTACTACGGCGTGGCTGTGCCATGCGAGAGCTCTCCCGGAGACAAAATAAACCCACCCTGGAATTAGGGGTGATAACTTCATCACTGGGAGAGTGTCTCCTGTCAATGAAGCGCTGTCCACACCGGTGCTTTTCGTCGTTCAAACTTTTGTTGTTCAAGGGCGTGTTTTTTTCACACCCCTGAGCAACAAAAGTTTTAACGAAAGTGCAGTGTAGACATGGCCCGGTATTTAAAGCAAAGATGTGTCTCTCCTTTTTATATCACTTTTTAAGAAGTTGTGACCACTAGAACTATCTGGACTTTGATCTATTGATTCCATTTTGCATTGTGTGACAGAGCATTTCCTGGGAGAAGAACTTGGATTTATTTTTAATTGGGATATTAGGGGAGAAAAATACTCCAGTAATACTCCAGAGGATGGAAGGATAGTGTTATAGTTGAGAGAATCAGGAGACCCCCGCTTCTAACACAGACTTCCTTTGTGATGTGTGCAAGATACTTAACTTCTCTGTGGAATGGGGATAAGAATATTTTCTTCCATCACAGGGATGCTTGTGATGATGAGGGTTAATTCCTCAATGCTTGTAAATCATTGAGGACCATAGATGAAAGCTGCTGTATAGATTTTACGTTCTTCTGGGCAGGGACCATATTTTTCTGCTTTTTTGCAAAGCACCTAACACACTTTTGTGCATTTTAAAATTAAGAGCTATTCCAGGCTCCATCAGTTGGGTCAGACCATGCCAGCAAAATGGGGACATGGGCTCTGATTCTGCACAATGCTCCATGTAGACCGTTTCCACACAAAGCAGTTTGCAGAATCGGGGCCATCGTCATTTAGAAACAGGTGGAGATAAGCTTTGCTGAAACCCACAGAGTCTATAATTTAGTTATTTTTGGTGTATCCTGGGTCTCTTTTAAAGCTTAAATCCTGCAGAATGTGTACTAATCTGGGAAGCTGCATGTAAGAGTTTGTAACTGTAACTATATAAAGGGGGAATGCCCAAAACAAATGTGATTTTTTTTTTCACAATCCCACCTGGAAAAATTCTGCAGTTCCTTAGCCAACTGTAGTTTATATGAATTGGGAACAGTTGGACAGAAACCTGCATTTTTTTTTCTTTGACCGAGGGATACAGGAGGAAATGCTTTCTCCCCAATGCAATTTTTTTAAATATAAACATGGATTCTCTTCCTCAAACGGCTCTCTGCATCATTTCCAATTCAAAACAACTCTCTGATTTCTTATCCCTGGGGGATTAAAAGGGGATGAAGACTGGCTCCACCTTTTGATGCATATGTATCAGCCCTGAGAGTAAGGAGGGGATAAGAGATCAGAATTTCAACTTGCCTCTGAATAAGCCTTAGTGGTTCCCTTTAACTAGGGGCATATGAGACTGGAAGGCTACTTATTGTGGAGTTCCCTGGGAGTTTTCACTCCCCTGTGAAATCTGATGTCTGGACCCACCCTCCAGAGCCTTGTTTGGATTCAGTGGCTATGAAGGTGACAGATCAAAGGGAGCCGCATCTCTCAGGAGAGTCCCCTCCTAACTTCTTTCCTTTTGAACATGCAAGTGACCCAGGATGTGGTGATGCTGGTTGTTGGTGGGGACAGCGAGGAGCAGATCTCTGAAGTGTTTTGTGGCTGAGCAAGACTTTACCTTTGTTTGGTGTTTTTCTTTTCCTTTTTTGAACTGCTTGTCTAATGGCTAAACTGCTCCAGGGATCAGCCCCGTAGCACTTATCAGGAGTACTGGGAAAGGTAAGTTTGGAATGGAAAAATGGGAAATCGTTAACTTTGTGATGGCAAAACGTAGGCAGCTGTGGTGGGGTGTGCGTGCGCCTGCGTGGGTGGGGGAAGGATGGTTGTCTGATAAAGGTGAAGGGACGCCTAGACACGAGCAGGTGCACAAAGGGCTGAAAGCAGCTCTACGAAAGCGGCTAGTCCTGCCTTTCAAGCACTCACAGCACCAACACAAAGCGCTCACTATAAGGAGCCGGGCAAAGCTGGTGACCATGGAAACGGGGTTTTGAAATGGCTACAAGCAAGAAACTTTACCTCATTGCTGTGGAAATGTAACTGGTTACTGGGGTTACTAACGGGCCCAGTTGGGGGTGGAGAGTCTCAGAAGTCTTTAGGAAAGTTTCAGATTTACACGGCTAGTTTCTCAAATCTAGCAATTGCTCCTGGTGAGCAAAGCAGCCCAAAGGGGCTATTTTGTTTTGTCAGTTAACGGTCAGATCCTTTGACCTCCAGCTCAGAAAAAAAAACTGCTTTTCAGTTGGCTAATTAGGAAACATTCAATGATTTATTGAGCGGGATTTTCCTTCTGCTATTACTGGCTCTTCTGTCCATTGGATGCATCCATCGTAGATGATAATGATTAACAAGCAGGCCCCTAAAAGAATGAGAAGTAATGAAAGAGGTGTTAACAGACTCCTTGGTATTTTAATATTCCATCTGCTTACAGTGCCTCTGTTAAACTGCTTTAGAATAACTTAAGCTTGACACAGTGGAACTAACTGGCCTTCATCTTCATCTTCCAAATCCTATGCCAAAAATCCTTGCAAATCAGAAGGCTTTTTAAACCCAATGGTGTTCGGTGTTCAGAGCAGAGTGTAAATCTGGCTTTTAGTGAGGTGGGTATAATTCAAATCCCCAGTGATAACTCTGTTTGCACCTCAGGAGATGTCAAGGTGTCTGCTAGCAAATGTGAAGAGGGAGGCTGCTCTATTCACAGTCACTCAGGGCATACACTCGCTTTAAGTATTCTTGTGACTCTCCTGTGTGTAGACAAGCCCTTAGAAACATTTTAGGCATCTCATTTTGCTTTGAGGTTGCTTGAAACATGAAGAATTTAAAATAAACCCTGGACTTCTTTCTGATCAAACACTACCTGTCAGTACCAGTACTTCCCACTTTTCTCCTGACTTTTGATTTTTGTTTTTTAAGACAGAGAGGAGAAATTTTATTTAAATGCTAATAGAGGTTAATCTTTATTTCCGATTTGTTTAAGCCTGGGGTGGGGTAGTCAATATTAGTGTTTACAAAAGGTATTTTTCTCCAGGGAGTTAACAACTGAATTGCATTTGCAATGCCCGCTCTTAAGCCATCAGCCACCCTTTCAAACAGCTCTGCTGAGGTCAGAGTTGGCACTGCCAGATTTCCACAGAAGCAGGAGACCATTCATTCTGCACATGGTTGTCACTGCGCAATCTTAACTTTTTTAACAATTAAAAAAATGAAATCCTCCTTTATACAAAAGAAGCTAGTATGTCCCAAAGGAAGAGAGTCCTTGCCATCTTTTACTAACCAACAAGATTTCCTTCGAAAGTAACTAATCTCTCCCTGTTGCTACCAAAAGTGTCCCAGTTGCCAATATCTGGACACAATTAAACTTTTCTCACCAACTTCATGATTTTTTTTTAATGGACAGTTACTAAACCCAGATATTAGATGAGCTCTGTACTGCATTCCTAGGCCCTACATTGTTATTTATTTGTAGTAAGGTTGTGTCCAGAGGCCCCAAATGAGATTACATTGTGCTATTTTCCCATTGTGCTAGGTGCTGTAATAACACACAGTGAGAGACAGTCCCTATTCCAGGGAGCTGACAGCTCAGACAAGACAGGCAATGGGTAGGAGATGAAACAGGCAGAGAGAGATGACATGACTTGCCCAAGTCATACAGCAGGCCAATAGAATGAATGAATGAATAGAAGCCAGATCTCTTGGCTCTTGACTGTTATCCACAGGGCCATGCTGCCCCCATGTTATCATTACAATCAGTTTATGATTTAGCTCTTGCTCAGTTCATTCACTTTTGACATCGCTGGACAACTGGAAGGATGAAGGGCATCTGGCACTTTGCTGTTCCATGATATAAAGGTGTGATTTAGGCCCACAGCATCAGGTCTAGTGCATTGCACATGCTTTCTTCGGCGCACAGCAGCACAGCTGTATATATTGTTCTGTCAAGACTATTTGATTTTTCCCCGACAAAAACATTTCCCCCGTCAATGAAGAATTATTTATTTACCATCAGATGAGTCATGGGAACTGATCCCATTCCCATTGAAATAAATGGGTGTTCCCCCAGACATTTCAAATCATGGAACAATTCAAATTATTTCAGCATGCAGATTGAAAAGCAGAAAATACAGGACCTGCGCGTATGCACGCGCACATACCCACGGTAGAGTCAGTGACCCAGGATCCATACAGGCTTCTGCCATCAGATAATCAGGTACCGGCTCATTGGGGATCCATTATGGTGATGAAAAATGGCTTCAACATCCCCTTATGGTTGGGGGGAGGGGCAAAAATGTGGGAAGCATTGGCTGGGGCATGTCTAGGGAAAGTGGTGGATCTGCCGATTCAGCATATTTTTGATCAGCCTTCCTAGGAGCTCAATTATAATATAAAGTTTTTCTTCTCCAACTGAAACCCTGACTGAGGGAGAAGCAGCTGCAAAACTGCCTGTCTTCCCTCATGCTGAACCTCGCCCAGAGCATAGAAGGCCAGGCTGGCAAAGGGATTGCATAATTTACATCTCCCTGTGCCAGCTGGGGTCAGCTGTTAGGTGTTTTGTCAGGCGGTAGAAAAATCTGAACATTGTAGGCTACTTGTGCAGAACGGGAGGTTTGATAAGAAGTTAAATTGTGATTTCTTGTGCATAGAGATGAATGAGTTACCCCAGAAATCAATGGCTATGAGCTACATAGTGAGCTGACATTTATACAATAGATGCTAGAAAAGCTCCAATGGATTTCAGGGGTACAAAATGTTCAGAACAGAGGGTAGGAGTACTTGTGGCACCTTAGAGACTAACAAATTTATTAGAGCATAAGCTTTCGTGGACTACAGCCCACTTCATTCTTCGGATGAAGTGG